ACTTGTTTTTCCCTTTAGTGGGGATCTTTTCAAAGCTGCCCTGGACATTTGGATGTCTGCATCCCATTAATTTTAGAGCCATGTGAGAGGCAGCCTGCAGATAGATACCCACCTATGCAAACTTTCAGTCAGTATAGAGCTTTATAAAATAAACCTTTAGAGCCACCCAGAACATGTAAGGCTTCATCTGTGAAGCTATAACACTTCAGGGAGGAGCTGGATTGTTTTCTTTCTTTCTCTTTTTCTCTCTGTCTTTCTGTCTTTCTTTATGTCTGTCTGTCTGTCTAGTCTCTATATTCATACATTTCCAGGGAACTCACTTATCAAAATGAGTTTTACTTGTGGATGAAAAAAAGAACCCCTGTATTTCTTTTAAAATAAATGCTGAAAAATCAAAGAAAAAACAAGTCTTAATTATAATATGAGCCTGAAGTGGGACTGTGCCCCGTCTCCCTGCTTTTTAACTGCGCCCCCCCCCATCATAAAGAAGTATGGCTGGAAGGGACATCTGGAGGTCATTTAGTCCAACCCCCTGCCTGAGCTGGGATCATCTCTATCCAAACCATCCCATACAAATCTTCCTGAGCTCCTCTTTTCCCCACTGTTCCCTTCCTTATCACCAGGTTTTGCCAGCCTTCTCTTTTCTTCTGCAATCCTGACAAAAGAACTTCAGTGCTCATTTGCATCAAGCCACAGGCATCCTTTCTATTGTGAGAATCAAAACACACTCGCGCGCGGGTGCACATACACACACACACAGAGGGTATATTCGCAAAGCAAAAACCACCAATTGCTCAAAACATCAAGTACCTCAGAGTTCAAAAATAAAAAATAGTAAATAGTAGGCAGTGTACTTCAGCTTTAAGAGACTATCCGATAAACTTCACAAATGCCTTGCTTTCAAGTCTGAGTGGAGAGCTGGGGAGGTGGGGAAGGGAAGGGAAGGATGCTGTCATGAAGAAAATTAAGTGATTCACCCTTTCACAAGCCAAACTGCATAGAACATACTTGGCTAAAAGCTGTTTGACGGAGCATTCAGCGTGGTGCAGGGACATATGTCAAATGCCCCAGAAATGATTAAGCCAACTGTTGACTCCAGCATTCACTGGGAAACTTGTAGCCAGAGTATTAGGTTTTGCTGTGAAAAGCACTTTGTTATAGTTGGATCAGCCAGCAACAAAACGGTGTGAAAAGGAGAAATAATCTGGATACATTGTCCAGACAAATCAGAGTCATTTATGTGAATTAAAGGCATTTCAGCTTATAATTGCTATCCATCTCATACCCTCCCTAGACTGATATTATTCCTTTTTATATGCAGAGGTTCTTTGCTTCATTAATGTGGGTTTTTTCCCCAAAATAAAGTAAACCAAGCTTTGTAGCTCCACATTCCCAACAGATCCCTCTCACATTTGCCCTTGGAAAGAATATGAGTATCCTCTTAGGACCAAATTCCCGTCCTTTTCCCTGTGACAGAGGTCTGGGCCCCACTACTTAACTGGGGACAATGCTTCCCATCCAGGGACAGCTGCCCTAGTTCCTTCCTCCTGTAAGAGAGAGCTAGGAGTAGACACAAATAGTGCTGAACAAACTCAGCATGCCCCACAGTTTAGCCCACAAGTTGAACCTGTACAGTACTGGAGTTAAAGCACACAGCCAGCCTGCTGTCAGCCTGCATTGCTCCTGCAACCAAATTCCATCTATGCCAAAGTCAACAGGCGGTTTGGGGGGGAACAAAATTCACAAGAGCAGGCCCAGGCACTTCCATAGAGTCATTCTCTGTGCATAAAGGATCCTAACCAGCGATGTTTCACTCTCGCCACCTGCCCCAACGCTGCAGTGTGCAGAGGGGAGGAATAGGCCTCTGTTATAAATGCATACAGGGAAAATAGTTTCCTTCAGCTGAATACATTTGAAAAAACAAGGTTTCTGGATTTAAAACGTCTTCACAACTGAGGACTGTCTGCATGATGGGTTAGGGACTCGTACCACCCTCATTTTATTTGGTGTAATTGGACTGATTTACATAGTTAAGGCTCTGGTACAATCTTTACATGAGAAAAATAGCTCAGGTGGTGTCTAGAAAGATCACCATCACACAGATATTTTTAGACACCTACCTCTTCTGAAGTGTCAGCTGTGTACAGACACTAGGAAAGCAGTCAGCTGTTCAGGGTGAGCCCATAGTTGATGTGGTATGATGCAACAGACTGCAATGTGGGTATGTGTCATCTGGAAAATGTAAAAAAGAAAATGTCCAGAGTGAAAAAATATTCATTTTTAAAGGAGCCATAAACTTTAAATCTGTACACAGAAAACTAGTTACTTATGAAGCTAGCACCTTGAGGTCCTGGTCAAGGTCAACTGAAGGAGTCTCTGTGTGACTCTCAGTCTCACTGTGCCAACATTACAGTGAGGTGGCCCCCACCCCAAAGAGCTTGCAGTCTAAGACAAGCACAGGGTGGGGGAAGGGAAGCGGAGATCCAGCGAGAGGAAGTCATTTACCAAGGCCACACAGCTGGGCAATGGCAGAACCCAGAATAGAGCCCAGGTGTCTTGAGTCCCAGTGTCATTAATAATGCTGAGCTTAGCTAGGTTGTCACAGAGTGCTGCAAAAGAGGGTGGCTTTAAGCTCTCAAGGGAGAAATGAAATGGCTTCCTCATGGATATGAGCTGGGACAGTGGCAAAAGTGGGAAGAGACACTGCTGCACTGTGTTTCCCCCAGTGTACTGGGCCATGAAAAATGGAGTAATAAACTACAGCTCTGTCATGGGCTGTTATTCCTGGATCACGTGGTCCTCTTCTCCTTCCACAAAGAACCAGTTACGTGTCAACTCAGCTAAAACACAAGAGACTCTCTTCCATCTCTGGAACCGTGAGGCCAACTGACAACAACAGGAGCCACATGATGTTACAAACTATTATTTTGTTGTTTGATGGCTGAATATCCATGCCTGGTGTGAGAATGATCAGCTCCCACAAAAATATGGATCCTGTGCTGAATAATGGCTAATATTGCTTTACAGCAACCCATGTAAACAGCCCGTGCGTGCTTGTTGCAATTGTTCCACTAGGAGCGAAGAGTGTTTTCAAGCAAAATGAAATAATCATGACTGGTCAAACATGCCAGACAGCCAAGATATGGCCACACTGCAGCCATTAGCTGCTTAGAATCACAAAAATGCTTCCAGCCATAACACAAACACTTAAAAACAGTACCAATTGTTACACAAAGGGAAATGTGGCACATACAACATATACTCAGCAAGGATGTCAAAAAGGACATGAACATCACTGGCTGTCTCCCCACAGGCACAGAGAAGGATTGGCTGACAGTTGCCTTTCAGCAAAAGTCAACAGGTCAAAATGCAATATGCAGAAGTAGGGTTGTTCGAACAACTCAGAGGCACATAAATGTAATGAAACACAGACCATGGAACATGTGTTTGTCTCCCAGCACCTGAAGGAACTGTTTGATGTGGAAGACATTGCCAGGCCTACAGACTTGTCTTCATCGTATACCTGATACTGGAAAAACTTCTGTATTTGGAGGGGGGGTACCAAATAATGATAGCAGCCCCCCACAGATAAGATTGCAGATACTTTGCAGTGCAGCTGGATGGTGGAGCAACCCAAAGCAGCCACACTTAGCTTACCTGAGCACACTGTACTGCTGCAGGAAAAACTCCCACATTTTTGTTTCATGAGCAACCACCCTTTTCCTTAGTAAGTTTTGGCTATTTGCTGTCACAAGAACATACTGCAGCAGTATTGCCTAACCAGGTTTCGGGAGTACACTCTGAAATTTAGAACATCATCTTTAGGTTCCAGAATTAATGACAAACTGAGGCAATAAGAGAGTTCACACCTCTTAGAGTATTTGGTCTAGTATGCTCCAAAATGCCAAAGTTGAGCAAGTAGGAGAGGTATCTACATGTGTGTCTAGAAACCTCCCCAAAACTTCTGAGCACTTCTAGTTTCCATCAAAACTTCCATGGGCACTACTTGCTTCAAGCTAAAGCCTGATTCATGAAAAACCATTCTAGAAGCAGTATGAAAAAAAACCCTCTTAAAAATCTGGATCTTTTAAGTTTTAAATTACGGAAGTTCCTAAAAGGGAAGTTTATTTGTTTCAGGTGCTATTTTTGGTGTTTGTTTGGCTCAGAAAAGATTTTAATGTATGCATGAAATTTTGCCAGCTGTTAGTCCATAATGTAACCTATTTTTTGGCGATTTGTTCTGAAATGTAAAATGAAATCAGTATTTCATGAAGTATACTCTGGGGGGAACATGCAACCTGACTTAGAACCACAGTTAATTCCTGAGTTACTGATGGCAGCAGCCTCAGGATATAGCCATGTCTATGGCTAGTATAAAACAAGAACAAGTTGTGAGGAGGGCAGCACTCAGAGGTAACTTATAATTCTAGAAGTAGTAAGGTAAGATCTTGGTGTTACTACTGACTCTGTCCAATATGATCCATGGCTCTTTTATAGTCATAGTTTCATTGCAAGAACCCCAAACATTTGAATTACATGACATTACTCATATAAGGCCTGGGAGTGTTCCCTTGTGTGTTAAACACCATTTACTAACCTTGTCTGATTATCTTGCTAGAACTAAACCATTGTATTTCTATTTTTGTTTTACAGCAGACTTTACTAGTTCTGAGTAACATCTAATTTTGGTTTAAAAAGTGTATCAGACACTGATTTAAGATCCCCAGGATGACTTCCCTGCCTATCTCCAGATCTGCTGTTGCATATTCATTGAGTATGAATATTTAACCACTCTTGAAATCAAGCAAAAGTTCTTCAACTCACCTTGTTTGTTGCTCCCAGCAGTTTAAATTCAATGTTCCTGTTGAAGCTTAGACTTTTTTACCTGATAATTATGCAAACCACCTCCTCTTCAAAGTCTGGAGATGAACTCATGAGATTCGAGCTATTGGGGATTCCTCACATAAAATGGTGTTTGAAGCTTGACACTTTGGATTCATTTGAAATTCTCTGAAAAGCCTAACTGTACTACTTTCCAAAGGTATACAAGCATAGTATTTTTAAAATGTGCACATATGGCATACTAAAGTAGCATCTTTTTGGGGGAAAATTGATGGTCATCAAAATTAAATGTATATTTAGATCTAATTAGATTGGATAGTATAATTTAAAAAAGAAGATACAAACATTTCCTGATCTTATACATACTCTCCTCAACATCTGCACGTATAGAAAAAGGATTGGAAAAATTGTCAGGTCAGATTGAGAGCTACAGATAGCGAAAAAAACACTAAAAAATATCTGTTAAGGCATTCCCCATCCTCATACCTATTGTAGCTCATTGCCATGGCAAAATTCCACGGCACACCTGGGCATTTCTGACACCACACTTTTGTGCTGCGGCACACTGATTAGGAAACACTGACCTAGAGGTCAGCTTTAAAAAGTATATTGAGACACCTAAAGATGCTGGAAGATTTCTCTCCCCTGGGATTGACAAAAGTGCCAAAGCAGTTTAGATGCTTAATTGCCACAGAATGTCAGTAGGAAGTAAGGAACCAGCTCACTCAGGTGTTTCTATGAATCCTGCTGGGTGTCTAGCAGCATCTTTAGGTGCCTCAGCACCTTGTAAGTCTGGTCCTAGGAGTTTAAGGGCCTTGTTACACAGGTATTTTGGGTGGCTCCTGGAGCTTTTAACCCCTGGACTATAACACCTGAAACTAGTTTTAAGTGCTCCTTAGGCAGCTCAAAGTTATGTCACTTCAGGGCAGGATTATCTCTGATCTGTGTTACCTAGATTGTGTTACATTAAGGTGCAGGTATGCAAGACTACCCCTTAGTGTAAACACCCCATTCACCCCCTCCTTCCCCACTGACCCAGATCAAGCTCACGACCCTGCCCAGCACCCCAGAACCTCACTTACTGCCCCCCACCCACACACACACTGTCCTACTCACTTGTGGCTGCTGGTGCTGTCTGTCCCAACTTAATTCTTTCCTACCTGCTTCCCTGGGACAGACACCACCAGCAGCCACAAGTAGGGATGCGGGGAACCAGGGGAGCCCCAGGGGGAAGCCCAGAAAGGGGGTGGGGGGGAATTCTTACTTTTCAGTCCTCCAGGACCCTGCTGGCCTGAACAGGTCACTCCCCAAACTCATGCTAGCACTAACATGGAGAAACATGTTATAATGGTATAACATGTAACAAGGTCCTTAGATTCATGAGAACTCAGGAATGTTTTAAAATGTTACCCCTTAGGGCTACCTACAGAAACATGGGTATTGGCCTCAGTCTTTCCAGCAAAAATTTTCAGAAGGGCTCATCACTCGCAACTGGGGTCTAAGTTTCAAGACCAGATAAACACTGGGTCACAAGCTCTCTGGACCTGAATCTCTCTGTGGGTGCTGAGCATCAGAAAGTTGGATCCTATTGGTTGACAGGTGATGTGGTGATCCTTCCTGTAGATGGACACAGAATGAATGGAAAAGGTTTGACACACAGAGCTCTTGGGTCAGAGGTGGTATCTTTTATTAGACCAACTAAATAACAGCAAAAAAATTCAGTCTAATAAAGGATATCGCTTCTTACCCAAGAGCTTTGTGTATCTCTTTTTCTCAGACCAACACAGCTACAAAACTGATCCCTGGAAAGGGTTTGGGCATTCACAGGGCAACAGGGAGTATCACACTTATTTTCAAACCCCTTGTGAGACCCCTGGGGCAGTGTGGAATTCATCCCAAAATCCAGCATGGGAATTGCTGGAGCAGGGTCACACCTCTCCTTTAGGGTGTGGGGCTAGTTCAGCCTCAGCATAGAACTGAGCAGCTCTGAGTATTGCCATAACTTCTGCTGAGGCTGTGATGGCTTCTAAGTAGTGTTGCCAACCCATGATGGTCTAAGGCAGGGGTAGGCAATGTTTTTTTGGCAGGAGTGCTGAAAAAAACCACAACGTCTACCTTGGAAGGTGCCAGAGTGCTGACATGCTGGAGTCACTGTTTTCACAGCCGGCCCATGGAGGCTGGTCTGCTTGCAGCACGGCTTGCAGCCTCCTAGCTGCCTGCTGGGAGCAGCCTGGGCTCCATGGCTGGCAGCAGCTGCTTAGAGTTTGGGCTGATGGTGGTGCACTGAGCAAAATGGCCTTGCATGCCACATTTGGCATGAGTGCCAGGGGTTGCTGACCCCTGATCAAAGGAATATGCCAGAAGCAAGATTTGTTTGGTAATATA